AAAAAAAAAAAAAAAAAAAAAAAAAAAAAAAAAAAAAAAAAAAAATCTAGTATTTACAAGTCTTTCCACCCAAGTCAAAATCCGTCCCTTCAGATTACAATTTTCTTGTAATTATTACATCTTTCATACGAAAAATACGCTAGTCTTTCCACCCAAGTAAAAATCCGATTTTCAAGGTCCTTAATAATACCACATCTGCACACAATAAATACGCACACGCTAATCAATTTCCTTAATTTATTTACTCTTGTTTCTTCCCATTAAAAGAAAGTTTTGCGCATGGCAACAGGTACAGTGCTTCCCTCTGCATACGCCGCCTTCTTTGCCGGCAGAAAAACAGCCCACAGATCGAAAGGGCCCAAAGGCGTCAACATCAAGAAAGCCGAACAGTACGACGAAGACGACGGGTGTCTCGATTTCACCACCGACTGCGGGACAAATAAGAGAAGGTTATTAGGCTGTCCCGACGCCGACGCCGACGCCGGCCGAGCCAAGAAGTCGAAGAGGATCACGGCCGGTTCGGGTTCATCTTCCTGGTACGGCAGCATACACGACTACGAGTGTCTGGACATGATCAGCCAGGGCGCGTACGGTGCCGTCTACAGAGCACGCCACAAGAAGACCCACGAGATTGTGGCCGTGAAAAAGGAGTTTGGCGGGTTATGCGAGTCGACACTGACCGAAATAAGCATCCTCCGCTCCATCCGCCACCCGTCCGTGGTCGAGTACAAGCAGGTGGTCAGCGATGACCTCGACGGGATTTACGTGGTGATGGAGTACATGGAATACGATCTCCACGAATACTTGAAGAAGAATCCCTCGATCGATCTTCCCCAAGTCAAACGCTTGATGAAGGAGCTGCTCGAGGGAGTCCAGCACCTTCACGAGAAGGAAGTCATGCACAGGGACCTCAAGCCATCGAACCTCCTCTTAAACGCCGAGGAGCCGGGCAAGCTCAAGATTTGTGATTTCGGGTTGTCCAGTCGGTTCGAGGACAAGCCCTGCACGCCCCACGTAGGGACTCTATGGTACAGGGCGCCTGAGCTGTTCCTTGGGGCCCACGAGTATCTGCCTGCAGTCGACATGTGGTCGGTCGGCTGTATCATGGCAGAGTTCTTCTTGGGAAAAGTGCTTTTCAGAGGGGAGTCGGAAATCGAGCAGCTTCAGATCATAGTAACTAATTTGGAGCAGCCACACTGTGAGCTTCAACACAAGTTTGCTGCTGCCAATGCTTTGAAAGGCGGGCCGTTGCTCACGCAAAGTGGATTCGAGCTGCTGTCACGCCTTTTGACGTACAGTCCGCAAGACAGAATAACGGCTCGAGAGGCTCTTGGTCATTGGTGGTTTCAAGAGTGACTATTATTCTTTGTTTATGGATGGATGTCTCTTGTGTTGTAATCAAATTGAGATAATTAGCTTCCCTCTTCAGATACTGCCTTTGGTCTTGTTGCTCTAATTGTTTCTTTGTGAATGATCTCTGTAGTGATTCACCAAATCGTTTCTTCACTTTCCCTCAACAGCTCGTTTCGAATGTTTTAAAGTGGATCTGATATAAAGAGTAGGTGCACTGGATATATTTATGAAATTTGAACAGCCAACTAAAGAGGAACATTTCATTATTTACAATCCAGAAAGAAATATCCATGTGATTATCCTACCCACACACACAAGAACAAACATAAACAAGCAAACAAAATCTTTACCCGATTAAGGAACAGAATGCCTGACTGCTGTGAGCTTAACAATCTAAGACCTGTTGGTGCCCCTTGGGAAGCACATTATAATTCTGATAATGGGAGTTAACAATGCTGGTAATCTCAACAACACATCAGCAAATCGTGGAACCACTTGTCGAAACCAGTTTTTACCCTCATCCTTATTCATCAACTAAAAGTAACAACAACAACAACAACAACAACAACAACAACAACAACAACAAACAGCTCTTATCAAGATATTCACACAATTTTCCCGGGGTCTTTAGGAAGTCACAGCCAATAAAACTGCATATAAATACGTGCCGAGAAAACTACATAGTTAATAAGACTCTCGCAAGTGCAGGAATATGGATTTGACAAAGTAAAGAGGCAGGCAAACATAAAAGTCTAATAACCATTTCGCATTATTGTTCAAAGAGTAAAGCCATCAAAGGAAGTTCCACTCTGCACTAGCCAGCAACTATTCCATTTGTTAGATATAGTAACGCTTAAAAACGATTCTCGAAAGAAAAACCAGTAACAAGTAGAACCAGCCGACAGTGATTTTAACGCAAATGATTGAAAAAAAACAAATGCATCGTGCATCCCCAAATGGATCCAAATTTTGATTACCTTTCCCTAACTTATAAACTAATGTTCGTGAACTCGCTGAGCTATAAAAACGTCAGAAAGAATTAACAAGTTACTAAGAGGATTTAATGATAAAAACAAGAAGTAAGTTTAATGTTAAACAATCAGCTCACAAACTGTTGGTGGAAGTCCTCAGGTCATATTTTCAAATGATGTTTACAAGAAGACTAGACATGGAAAAAGACTAGAAAATGAAGCTACCTTGTCTGCGAGCACTTTTTCCCGGGCTTTGTTTTTTTTTTTTTTCCTGAAATTGGACTTCCACTCCACCCGGGACGCTAGACTGTGGATTGGAATTTTATTAATTTGAACTATCAAATCAACTGTATTATAATGTATTAATGTAAAAAAATTAATTTAAGAGTTATATTAAATATTTTAATTTTTTATTATGTTTCAAAACCATAAGTTTAGTATAATAGGAAAAGATGATGACTTTGTTCGTTTGGCAGTTTAGCGTGAAAATAGCGAAAAATAGCATAAAAGGTGTAAAATAGTGTAAAATCTCTCTACCATTGTGTGTCACATAAGCGTTTAGGCGTAGGCTTTTTCGGCACAACGCAAAATTACAAATGCTATCTGCGTTTTGTGCTATTTTGTGTAATGATGCGCTATACTACACTTTTGAATCACTAATCACGGGTGTTATACTAGTTACTCATTACAACACATTATGAAGTGAACGACCTCCGCACCTGCAGAACCCAATGTCGGGGGTGGCCCCGACGTCGGGCCTCCGATGCTTAAGTCAGTGCTCAGATCAAGAGAGAGAAAGTGTAGTAATGTCATGAATAGAGAGTGAGAGAATGAGGTACCTTGGCCCCCTTTTATAGGGGGAGTGTACCTTTTGGGTCCAAGTTGGGCTTGACCCCTATCGTTGGGCTTAGAAGTCTTAGTATGCTTATCCTCCAATATGTATCCGCTTTATCCATTAAACCGGGTCCAGTATAATATCATCTAGTCCCCTCCACTCTGGTCGAGTAAGCATAACTCGATCCAAGAGTGAAATGCCTCTTCGAGCTGTTTTCTTCAACTTGCCACTAAGATTGAGCATCGAAAGTCGAATGACCATTGAATAACCACTGAAATGATTTGAGCTTTGAGATCTCAAGATCGAAAATCGAAAGACCACGGAGGTCGGAAACTGAATGATCTGACGTCGGGGTCGAAAACCAAAAGATTTGTCAATAAGGACAAGAACCTAATGACTTGCCACTGAAGTCGAACACCAGAAGTTGAACGTCAATTGAGGTCGAAAACTGAATCGAGACCGCTGAGGTCGAAAATCGAGAATCGAGACCGCTGAGGTCAAAAACCGAGAGTCGAGGGACCGTTGAGGTCGAAAATCGAGAGTCGAGACCGCTGAGGTCGAAAACCGAGAGTCGAGACCATTGAGGTCGAAAATCGAGTCGAGATCGCTGGGGTCGAAAATTGAGAGTCGAGAGACCGTTGAGGTCGAAAACTGAGAATCGAGACTGCTGAGGTCGAAAACCGAGAATCGAGACCGCAAGAGGTCGAAAACCGAGAGTCGAGACCATTGAGGTCGAAAACCAAGAGTCGAGACCGCTGAGGTCGAAAATTGAGAGTCTAGAGACCGTTGAGGTTGAAAACCGAGAATCGAGACTGCTGAGGTTGAAAACCGAGAATCAAGACCGCTAAGGTTGAAAACCGAGAATTGAGACCGCAAGAGGTCGAAAACCGAGAGTCGAGACCATTGAAGTCGAAAACCAAGAGTCGAGACCGCTGAGGTAAAAAATTGAGAGTCGAGAGACCGTTGAGGTAAAAAACCGAGAATCGAGACCGCTGAGGTCCAAAACCAAGAATCAAGACCGCTGAGGTCGAAAACCAAGAATCGAGACCGCAAGAGGTCGAAAACCGAGAGTCGAGACCATTGAGGTCGAAAACCGAGAATCGAGACCGCTGAGGTCGAAAACCGAGAATCGAGACCGTTGAGGTCGAAACTGAGAATCGAGACCGCTGAGGTAAAAAACCGAGAGTCGAGACTGCTGAGGTCGAAAACCGAGAGTCGAGACCGCTGAGGTCGAAAACCGAGAGTCGAGACTGCAGAGGTCGAAAACCGAGAGTCGAGACAGCTGAGGTCGAAAATCGAGAGTCGAGACCGCTGAGGTCGAAAACCGAGAATCCAGACCGCAAGAGGTCGAAAACTGAGAGTCGAGACCATTGAGGTTGAAAACCGAGAGTCCAGACCGCTGAGGTCGAAAAACAAGAACTGAATGACCACTCCCTAAAAACTTGAATTTGAAAGTTTGAACTTATGCCTGTTGTGTTTCGATCATCCTGTTCGAGCTCTCTTAGACCACCACTTCCTATTGCCCCTCAGTTCAAAATTTAAAATTTTAGTCTGATGTATATCCTCTCAAAACCCAAACGACCTAATTTCATGAATTGCTCTGAATGAACTCCCTCGACCCGCCACTGAGGTCGGAAAATAATTTCGGCAAGACCAAACCAATCAAAAACCACCAACCTGCTCGTGCTTGTAATGAATCCCATCTCTCTACCTTTGAAATCGAAAAATCAATTCGACAAAAACCAAGATAAAACGCAATCAACCTGCTCGTGCTTGTAATGAATCCCATCTCCCTGCCTTTGAAGTTGAAAAATCAATTCGACAAAACCAAGATAAAAACGTAATCAACTTGCTCGTGTTGTAATGAATCCCATCTCCCTGCCTTTGAAGTTGAAAAATCAATTCGACAAAACCAAGTTAAAACGCAATCAACCTGCTCATGTTGTAATGAATCCCATCTCCCTGCCTTTGAAGTCGAAAAATCAATTCGACAAAACCAAGATAAAACGCAATCAACCTGCTCATGACGGAATGAATCTCATCTCCTTGCCTTTGAAGTCGAAAAATCAATTCGACAAAACCAAGATAAAACGCAATCAACCTACTCGTGACGGAATGAATCTCATCTCTCTGCCTTTGAAGTCGAAAAATCAATTCGACAAAACCAAGATAAAACGCAATCAACCTGCCAATGGGATCAAAATCACAAATACAGCATAACCAAACCAAATAAAACCATCCATATGCTCAAATTATCCATAATAAACTCTCGCCACTGGGATCGAAATCACAAATACAACAAAACCAAATCAAATAAATTCGTTAACATGCTCAAGCTTTCCATAATGAACTTGGTCGACCTGCCACTGAGGTCCAAAGCATAGATACCGCAAAACCAAATCAAATAAA